AATCTTGGAAATGTCTAGAATTTTACGGACTATAGACACATGATGTGTATATAAAGTGACATAGATTGGTTGGTATTAAAATTTTCTTCACCTGAAGCTTCACGTGTCTTATATAGGACGAAGAAGCACATCGAGTTGAGCCTTCTATGTCACTTAACTTGATGGTTTAAATCAAGGGGAAAAAACGGATCCTAGATCCTGTGGATCATAATGGATCCTGGTGGATCTAGATGGATCCTAGAATGGATCTTCATGGGTCCTAGGATCCGCTTTTCCCTCTTGGTTTAAATGTGATCATGAAGAGTTCTGGCCGGGTTAACTTTTTAAAAAATTGTGTGAAAACTTATGACTGACTCGCAAAGTGACAAGTTAACCCGATCAGAACTCTTCATGATCACATTTAAACTATCAAGTTTGTGACATACAAGGCTCAACTCGATGTGCTTCTTCGTCCTATATAAGACACTTAAAGCTTCAGATGAAGAAAATTTTAAAACCAACCAATCTATGTCACTTTATATACGCATCATGTGTCTATAGTCCGTAAAATTCTAGACATTTCCAAGATTCCGCATAAAAGTCTTCAGAACTCTTTATTGTCTAATACAGATAAACTCCATTTTTGACGGGTTTTCATTTGATATAAAATTCATTATGTCTTCTATTTGAAATTATAGCGGTACTCCCTGGAATAATATTATTTCCAACCCTGTACATTTATTAGATAAACCGAAATGATCAAATAGAGAATATGATAAATACAATAGTCTCTACTATATATTATAATAAATGAGATAGTCCATGTTCAGTAGATTTCTTTTTTGAAAAAAGTTTAAATTCAGAAATTTTTGGTTTAAAATACCAATTTCTATTACTTTTTTTATTTTTTCTTCTCAAGTTCGACCAGATCTTCCAGAAGGACATTTTCATACAGCTTTACTTCATCGATGGATGAAATCTTTACACACACCTGAATCGATCGGTATGTAAATGAAATAGATTCATAAATGAAAATATACTCTTCTTTATTTAGCTCAACATGCAACTGTCTTTGAACAAGATCTTTGTCAGTTAGTAGAACAATTGAAACAATTTGTCTTTCTTGATATTTATGGTGAAATTCCTTATGAAAAAGCAGAAGCTTATTATTCAATGGTTCAAACTCGTTTTCCCAATAGTCGAAATCATGTTGACATATCAAGATTTTGTCTTTGGCTTTGATTTCTAATTTCTTGTTTGTCTTAATAAGTGTACATTAGAGATAACTGTCGTATTTAATAATTTGTTTTTTTTTCTATTGATTTTTATGAAATGTTCAATAAACTGAAAAGTTGTATAGAATCATTTAATGGTGGTATTACCTTTCTTTATTTATCTTCCAAAGACCTTATTACTAACGAGTCTAACATAAAATGGAAGTAATTATTCTTTTTTTTCCGTAGTAGGGGTGCACCAGCTCCAGCTCATAAGTTTAGCTCTTTCGAGACAAAGAACTGTTCGAAAGTTCTTTTGATAGGAGCTGATCGTTTTGAACAGTTCCTTTTAAAAAGAGCTGATCGTTTTGAACAGTTCCTTTTAAAAAGAGCTGATCTGATCAAATAACTCTCTTTCCTGAAATGAACTTTTTGAACAACTCTTCAAAAGAAGCCAAAAATAAGATTACTAATCTACTACTAAATCCGTCACAGTCTGCTAGACTCACTCTACATTCGTCCCATATATTTCTAGAAAACTTCTTATTCGTTATCGTAAAATAAAAAACAGAACTTTTTCTGCTTATCCTCACACTCAGCCTTTCGTAGACCAAAACGTGAAAGTTTCCTCGCATTATTCGCAGATAGTCATTGAAAAGTTGTAGGTACCACTTATGGGTAGTCCATATAAAGCTGTAGGCATGAGCCCTAGATAGTCCCTAAAAAGTTAAAAGTACAAGCCTCATGCAGCCCTTGAACCGTTCTCGGTACCGCTACTGATTAGCTCTCAAGAAGTTGAGGATATCACCCATAGACAGTTCTTGAAAAGTAAATGGGACCACCCTAATATAGCCCTTGAAAAGTTGTAGATGCTATATTGAAGTAGACCTAAAAAAATTCTGGGTAGCATTTTTGAGAAGGGGGGAAAAATGGATCCCACTAGAAGTTTTCACTGAAATTACAAGTATTAAAAAAAGAGAAAAATAACAGTTGAACAAAAAATAGTTAAAGTATCTATAAAGCTCATAAACAAAACTAAAAGCAGAGTTTCGTAGCCATTTCAATAAAATTTTCATCGGCTTGTTTAGAAAAAACTTAACGAAAAAAAAACAAACTCAATTATTTAAGATGCAAAAATTCGAAGTTCCAGCAATGTTTTTGGTACATGATTAGATAGAGCTTGATGAACTGAGTAAGAATATGTTTATTATTTTTTTCTAAATCTTCTCGATTTAACACTAATCGAGTTTCTGCGGTGGCTCCGAGTGATTTATTTTTCGTATATATACGTTTTTCATATTTAAAATCAAACACATGTTTTCGATTTAAAAAATCGATTCAATGCTGATTGTAAAAACTAATATACTCAGATTTGACATAAGAAATTAATTCTCTGATACTAATTTTAAGTTGAGTATCACACATTCTATTTTTTTGACAAATCTATGTCTTAGTTTTTAAACTACGCATGGAATGGATTTTCGACATCGAAAACATATATCAGACTATTAGCATGGACAACATGCATATAAAAAATGTTCTACTTAAGACTATAGATGAAAATGGATTTTGTTTACTAAGAAGTTTCGAAAAAAAAAATGATAATAAGCCTACTCTTACTCATCTTTTTGAACTCTATTTCAACATGTTTAGAAAACGAGAAAAAAAATACTCAAATTTTAATTTTTTGCGATTTGAATATGAACCTACTTTGTTACTATGACCCACTAATAGTAAGACGTTCAAATTAGAAATAAGAAAAGAAGCACATACAAGCGATTTATATAGTTCTGTAAGATACAAAGAACGACTATCTATCTTATAGCTCTGGAAAGAGTCTTTTCATTGATTTTCTTAATTGATAGAAAGACTCTGGACTGGATGCCACGATAAAAAAAATCCCATATGATACTTCACGAAGAAAAAGAATCTGAAAAAAATAAAAACAAGAATATCGCCTAGTGTCGTTGAAAATTATTATTTTCATTCAGTGTTCTTTCAATCGATCGTTTCTCTCGTCATATTTGTTTTGTTTATTAAATTTGTGATATAAAATTATCACAGATAGATTAAGTTTTTGCTACTTTTATTGTTTAAAAGAATCCGACTTTTGACCTAATACGATGAAGAGATATTGTAATGAGGCAATAATTGAAAATAAAATTACAAAAACTGATCTATGGATCAAATAACTATAAAAATAAATTTCGGATCATGTCATATTTTCTAATGTCTGGAAAGGAGGGTCCTCTCAATGAGTTTTAAAAATAAGTTAAAAGTTCTCATAATATGTTATTAGCAATTTATAATGCTGAGAATGATTTAATTCAAATACAAAGGCATATTCTAATCATTTTCGTTGTAGATATTTTTCTCCGAGATGTTCAAAAACAAAAAACATGGACTAGACCAGACAAAAAATCCGCACAAGAAAAAAAGCACTGATCAAGTGAAAATCCGTCGGACATATTCTTGTCCGGAAACGAATCAGCAAAAATATGACAATGACAATGAAGATAAAGCTTCTGGTACAACAAATATGAGAGAAGATCGCTCATTAGAATTTGCCAATAATCAATCCAAGAATGATTTAATCGTTTCATACGTAAAAGAGTTTCTACAAAAACAATCTGATTTTTGTTGGCTAACACAACAATTTGATCGCACAGTTGTTTCAGACCATTTTCAAACTTTAGTTGTACATTCAACTTTCCCAGTCAACTTAGATCAAAGTGATTTTGAATATTACATTGATATGACATTTAACAATTTTCCAGAAGATCTCAGAGCAAGAATGAAGAATTTATTTCAGAAAAGTCGTCAAAATCCTATATCGGAAGATATTACATTTGCTGATCATGAGAATGGTACAGTATCAGCGACACTGGTACAAATTTTATCTCAGAAGAACGATCGTAATGAATTGGAAATGCTTGTTGGCTCGGTTTCTCTTACTCGACGTCCATCAGAAGGTTCTTATTTATGTCGTTCACATTGGGAACAACATAAAGAACAAGTTAAAACAGCTTTACAATATATCTACGGAAAAGAAGCAGAAAAAGAACTATCCTACGAATAAGAAAAAACTATTGCACTATGTTAAAGGCATGTTTTGCACAAGCTTTTCTGTTCTCATTAACATATATAAAAACCTTGCAACATGTTCTATTCGAATCAAGGACATGCGTTCATTAATTCTTTTTTATGTTGAATAACATTAGTGATCAGTATCGCTAACTTTGTTCCAGAAACCGTTTTAATTCATTAATAGAGACTGTGAACAACATCCAAGAGTTGAAAAAATTTTCTCTCCAATAAAGTAACAAAAATCGACTGTATGATGAACATTTCATAGAACAAAGTATCAAGACAATGAAAAGCTGAAAATTATTTCCATATCCTTCATTTCGATTTGAAATAATAAAAAAATGATTTACAATTATATTACTATAGATGAAAATTTAAACAAGATTTGGTGAGCTTCTCATACATGACTTACCGAGGATTTCATCTGTCCAAATCAGCACATTTAATTGATTGAAATAAAAAGTAAAAGATGTATTATGGAAGCACTGGAAAATCTTTCTGATTTAGAGGTTTATCATCGTGACTAACTTTTTAAATGGGTCACAATTAGTACTAGAAACAACATCCTATAATGAATGTTTGTTTAGATCGTGACTTAATGTATTATTAGTAGAGTCCATGTTAGGTAGTAACTTATTTATTGTAGGCGTGGGTGTGCATGAAGAGAAAACGAACATGCACACTCACACCACTCTGATCATTTACATCTTTTGTGAAACCACATTACGAGCACGATCAAGTATAGACTTCATTTTTTTTGTTTTTTATTCTAGCTAATACAGCAATGCTTAAAGTCTTTTGTCTTATGTCTCATCGATCAATAGTGACGTACCCAATCAATCTCATTCACCGACAAAACTATGGTTACGTTATTATCGATCAAGCAAATATATGTTTTTTGTGTGTACATTTTTATGGTCGATTGTCGTATGTGCTAAATTGTTCTTTGTCTATAGAGTTTTATTATTCAGTATCGATTATTATTTCACTCGAAGTTAAGGTGTATAAATAAAAATTTAGATACTATTTTATTGGGCACAAGATTTGAGTAAAATAATAACTCTTAGTTGTTTTATTCAACTGTCTAAAATTTCCATACTGAATTTATAATACATGTGAGTTATTGATAATTAGCAGTTCACTTGATTAAAAAGTACGAAGCAATAGAAATGGTTCAATTCAATTTGTATATGACACAGAAAACATCAAAAGATCTAACATAGTTTTTAAATTGATAATAATCTATATTTGTCTAAGTAAAACATAAATCCTCACCACGACATGCATCAAAGACACTGCAGTTTAACGTCATGTATTTTTAATCATGTTATCCGAAAAAAGATTTCTCGTCGAGAAATGATTTGTCAATCAGTTTTTAGTAATTCAAAATATTCTGACCTCAAATTCAATACTAAACAGTATTAAATATGTGAATTATATCAAGATCGTCAACAATATGATAAACAAATCCGAGAGACAACTAATCAAGAGATAAAGAGAACGTGGCTGACTTCAATATTATGTTCTTCGAAAATTGTGTTTTGTTGGAATAATTATCTATGTTCTCCCTCAATATGTGTTTTTTCCCTATGTAGCATACATGCTTTTTGTAATTGCATAACAATAATGCTAAGAATGAAATTGCATATAGTCATGGTTTTCTTTTTTCGAATGACAATGATTAACTGTATGTGTAAGCGAAAAGAAAAAAAAATATTCATATCGTGTCAGTCAGGAATCGAACCTGAGTCTGCTGTTCGACAAACAGCTATGATACCATTACACCACAGACACTTGAAATGAATTATAATGAGAAATTTAATCAATCTTGCTTCGAAAATATTTCATCAGTTGTCATACATTATAACATGATGAATAAGAATACATCATCCGACTTCTTTCTTGCATGTTTTCTCTCTTAAGAAAAAAATTCTAATATTATCAAGTTTGCTAAATTTACCAAAATCTCGACTAAAAATCTCTTCATCGAATTAAGATAGGCAAGGGATGACATCCTTTATTGTAAAATTTCATACCGTTGTGTTCACTTTCGGGTAAACACATTTCAATCTGTCAATTTCTTTTCACAAACTGAAAATTACATGTGTAACCGTTAATAGCATAATAGATAAGTGAAAAGTGTTTCTTTTGTTTTATTCTCGTTCGTCATTGTGACATAAATGATAGTCAATCTGTTCTTACCTGCTTTATACTTATATTATATGAGTGTGAGTGTGAATTTCGTTCATATAAACACCCACACCCTTCAAAAACTATACATCTTCCATCAATAATAGATAAATATTGAGACCGATTTATCAAGAAAAAGGAAATTTAAAAGTGTTACAATGCTTTAATGAGGAAGTGAAAATTTATTCAATAATTAGAAGTAATTTTACTCACAAAATTTATCGTTTCAATGAAATAATATTCATTATATTAGCTGAGTATGATTTTAATTTTGTAGCATTCTTTATATTTCTAAATATATTCATATTAACAATCTCATGTTTCGAAAGTTCTCTGTTTTGAAATTGGTTGTCTAATATTCTACTCGCTTGGATATATTTTTCGACAATTTTTGCAGGTTTAATTAAAATTATCTTAGTGTTCTTTATGAAATTCAATAAAAGATGGTAGATAAATGAATATTATTCCATTGAATTGGTAACTCTCCTATAAAACGCTTGCGGGGTTGAAAGACATACTTATATTATGAAAAAGAATTCAAAATTGATAAAATATCAAAATATTGATGTATTTCAAAGTTTATTCCTATTAGATAAAGCTCTCTCTTTTCCTCTATTAAATCTTATATTTCGATTAATTAATATTAATTTACTGATAGAAGTTGAAACTTTTCAATCGCCTTTTATTATCTCCAAAAAGCTACACCAATATCATAGAGAAAAAAGAAATCTTTAGTAGAACTTTTAAAAAATCTATGACAAAAACAATAAAAGAGGCAGATCAAACAATTAGACTCAGTCATTTATAGATAATCACATCAATGTGAAGGATTTGTAACTCTCTCCACAGCCGATGATTTACTTCGAAGATATCGATATCAAATTCAATCAAAATTTGATGCTTTTTTAAGCAAAAAGGTATTTAACCAAAGGCAATAGCTCCTTGAAAAGAATAACAACAATCATTATTCAATATCAAAAGAAAAAGACATACGTAGTCTGTGAATCTTCTTAAAACGACAACAATTGATGAAATTAACTTTATCATTCACTGGACTCATCTCGATGTAAGAGAAAACTTATAAAAATCATGACTTTTCAGACGAATTTTAACAGTTTGTTTAAGATATTTTTATTGATAAATTTATTAGCGATCAAAAAATTTGTGAATAAATACTACATTCTATTGAAATATTTCTTTGACTAACGAATATTTTTAAACAAAACTAATGACATAATTTTCTTTTGAATAGCTTTTGGAAAATTTATATTCAATATATCTAAACATAAAGATTGTTTTTTTTTTGGCGATAAATATAAGTCCGAAAATCAAAAAAAGAAATACTTCTTCAAGAGAAAAGGTGAAGAACACAACGATAACTTATGTTATTTACTGAGAATTAAAGTTCAACTATAAATTCAATCATTTGACTTGCTCAAAATCAGTTCTGACTGAATTTAGAATAACTAGAATCAATTAAAAAACAGAGGAACAAAATTTCGAAAACTACATTTGTTTTAGATTGTTTCCATTCTAATCATAATTCATAGAGAACAACGTCTGTGAATTGGTAGATGAACGAGAAATCCACACCTTATTGTATATGCTTTTGTTCAAATTAAATTATACAAGAAAAGATTTCTTTATTTTTTTTTTTTTTTTTTTTTTATGCGAAATTAAACCCTCTGACC